CTCTCTCTCTCCCTCACACACGCGCACACTCTCTCTCTCTCTCTCTCCCTCACACACGCGCACACTCTCTCTCTCTCTCTCTCCCTCACACACACGCACACTCTCTCTCTCTCTCTCTCCCTCCCTCCCTCACACCCTCACACCCTCACACACACACACTCTCTCTCTCTCTCTGTCTCTCCCTCACACTCACACACAAACACTAGATTGGAATTGTTGCAGCCTCACCTGCCTGTGCTGTGAAACCTGATCCGTTTGTGCAGCTCCTAATCCCGATCAGGGGAGAGGGGAGTATATAAAATGGCAACTGTTGAGCGAGCTGTAGCTGAGGGCTCTTTACCCTGAGCCTGTGGAATTGAGTTCACAAACAGGTGTTCTGTGTTTCTGCCTCGATCTGCTGCTCCTCCTCCCTGCCCACCCTCAGGAACTGCCCCAACTCGTTTCCAGCCCAGCCTGGGAGGCTGTGTTTCTAATTCCTTCGCCTTTGCTCACTCTCCCCTTTATTTTTATTTCTTCTGTTTCAATCTCTCTCTCTTTTATAACTTTCTGTTTGTGTATCTCCCTCAAACTCCTCTCCGTCTGTCTCACAGTTGTACTTAATCTCTTTCCTGTGTCTCCCACTCCCTCTCTCCTATTTCTTTCCCTTTGTCTCTCCCTATCTCTCTCTCTCTCTTCTGTTTCTACCTCTCTCCTATTTCTCACTCTCTCCCCCCTCTCTCTCTCTCACCCTGTCCCCCTCTCCCTCTCCCAGTTGCTTGCCCCTCGGCTCTCTCTCACTACCTCTCTCCCTATTTATTTCACACTGCCTCTCTCTCTTTAACCCTGTATCTCTCTCCTTTTCCCAGCCTCTGTTCCCTCTCTCTCTCTCGTCCTATCCCTCTCTCCCCTTTCCCAATCTCTCTCTCTCTCTCTCTCGGCCTGTCCCCCTCACCCTCTCTCCCTCTTTCTCTCTCACTACGTCTCTCCCTGTATATTTCTCTCTCTCTCTCTCGCCCTGTTCCCCTCACCTTCTCCCAGTCTCTATACCTCTCTCTCTCCTCTCTCCTTCTCCCTTTCCGTGTGTCTTTTTCTGGTTCCCACTCTCTCTCCGAATCCGTCCTCATCCGACAGTGGAATGGTTGATATTGCAGAGAGACCCAGAGTTCTTGTTCTGGCTGTTTATCCCTAGGAACTGACAGGAGATCTTTTGAGTTCCTGGTTTTGCCCCCCTAGAGCTCGAGCCCAGCATCTGACTTCCTGGAGTCGTGGCCTGCATTCCAAACATTCCGGACTTAGCAGGTTAAAGGTGGACCTGACTACACTCCGGAGGCAGAGGCAGGGATAGAGGGAGGGTATGGGGGGTAGGGGCAGGGATAGAGGGAGGGTACGGGGGGTAGGGGCAGGGATAGAGGGAGGGTACGGGG